GAAATATGATTTTCTTGAGATTTATCCATATTTAGTGAAAAGAACGAAGAATATCATTTGAAATAATAGCGTGTATAATGGCCGTCATCTGGTATGCTTACTTACTATCATAATAGAAAAAACTCGCCATAAGAATCGTTCATCATTTCCTGTTGAATTTTTTATCTTGAAATGTGTCATTGCAGTACATCATGAGTATATAAAGTGTCCAATGACAAAATAAGAAGAGCAAGTAGCTGTAAATGCATATCCAACACAAAGGGAGAAAAAAGGCGAAATTTCGAACTTTTTTTTGAAATATCTCGATAAATAGTGGTTTGTTCACATTTTCATCATCAAAATCGTGATTTTCCGACGAAAATACGTAAGTACCAAAAAATATTTTCGAAAAAAAACCATCGCATGATAAATGCAGTTTTACCAAAAATTGTCAAGTGAATATAATTTTTTTTTTAATATCCCATTATAGGATCACACACTGTAGAATTACTATTATTGGCCAATAGATTTGTGAACTCGATGCTGTGTTCTAGAAATTCACATCCAAATAAAATTTCGAAATCAGGAAAAAGTAGTAATTTTGGAATAAAAGTCGAAACATTCGAGATAAAAGTTGAGATTTCGATAGAAACGGCGAATTTTTCACTCGGAAGTAGACATTTTGGAAAGAGAATTGAAATTGCCAGCGAAAAATCAGAATCTTTATAAGATCCGGAACTCTTGTAGATCGGCAAGCAAAAAATATAAAAGCCATAAGAATTGGTGTCGAATTCGATCTAAAAGCATTGCTATCAACTCACCGGCACCCTTTCCTCACTTTGGGTACACTGTTCAATGTTAAAAAATTCAAATTCAAATAATCTAACAGTCAGTTTTCACCACACACAAACACACTACCGTAGTTAACGATATACTGATAATAGATTCGACTGTTCACAGAACAGTGTTCTGTAATCGAATGATTCACAATTTTTTTCTCGATCTCGATACGATAAATAGTCCCCACTTTTTTCATGAAACATTCCATTAAATTAATCAGACGTAAATAATAGAGTATCAAAAGTAAAGTTTGAAGATTTTCAGGAAGATACAAATAAACATGGTGACCATCAAGTACCAATATAAAATATTTCTAGAATCAGTAAAACTTGAAAAAAGGATAATGGTTTTTTCAATGAACATAAAATATGCCCTTCAGAAGGGTATTGAGGATGGATTTTGTCAACTTGTTTCTTGGATATTGAAAACGTCATTTATATTTTCATACAACGTGATGTAGGTATGGGGAGTATTGTTTTTCAATTATTAAGTATTCAATTGAAATGAAGAATGAACCTAATAATTTTCGTTCGACTTGTTCCTACAACTACACTATAAAATTGGGGAGGCTCGAAATACAGGGTGTCCAAACTCTTCAACGAGGAAAAAATTTGTTTCGATCCAACGGAAGTCATCAGGTAACACTATTGTACGACTGCAAATTTCGACCGTCATCTGATAACGAAATGATATACAGTGTGTCCCAGCTAGAACTTGTCACCTTCCTAATCTCCGATGTAGTAAAAAAATTAAAATCGCTCGGTCAGATCGATTTCAATTTGGCGAGGACACATTCTTCTGCAATTAACATATTCCAAAGTTGAAACCTAGAAGCGTAACGGGCATCAACTTTCGATTTTCAAATGGAACACCCTCTGTATTTCATTGCATTCTTAGATTATCCCTGAGGAGCTGCTTTCATCAATATCACACTTGGTGTCTATATGACATTTATAAAGAAAATGAATTTCCCAAGTCCGTCTCTGGAATTTTTTTCCATAGTAAGTCATCTTATGAAGTGTTAGTAGAGGTAAGTTTCTGGTCATTTTCAGACGATGACATTGAGACGTTCGTGAAATATGGTACATCAAAGATTCGCCCTGAATTCAAATAATGCCCCGTATTTCTGTTACGAATAGGCAATAGTTATTTGTTTAACTAGGCAGCAAAGTAGTAGATTGACTGCCGTGGCTGAATTCATAGCCGAGCGTAGCGAGGCTAGGAATCCAGCTAAGGCAGTCAATCTACTTTGCTGCCGAGTTGAACATATAATTTTTTCTCCGATTGTTCATAATGATATGGGAGAATATTGTATTTGCGAATTAATACAATTCCCACAATCTCTTTATTCTTCCTGTATAGTGTTCAATTAAAATAAAATTTGATAGAAATCGCAGTTGTTGGTTTGACAATTCATGAAATTTCTGACAGTTGTGCGAGAAAATATCGGTATATTTAAATTATTATATAATGGACAGTGATAGCGACCTGGAAGTATACTTACACCTCCATTAATTAGGGAGGTGGCAAAAAATATAGAGTTGAATTTGATGCCGGAGAAGTCTCGAATAGAATATGAAGGAAATTATAAACGATTTATGAATTTTTAATTTTGCTGATACATATCAATCAGCAAAGTAATCACTTTGCTGATCGATATGTGTCAGCAAAATCAATATTTGCTGCCAATCGGAGGAAAAATATATTTTTTCACATATACAGGGTGTATCCAAATAACACCGAAAAAATTCAAGGGGTGATTCCTTGTGATATTTAAGGTAATGAAGTTCATATAAACATGTATCCTAATCTTCTTCGTTTTCGAGATACAGGGTATTAATATTTCCATGGAAAATCGTTTTTTTATTTATTACTCAGTTGTCTTTTCATCAATTTCAATAAAACTTTGTGGTTTTGTTCATAGTAATATGAGGATTCCTCTGGTGCAATTTGATTTGAAATGATATTTCCAGTGGCGTCACAGTGGGTAAATTTATCAATATTTATGGTGAATGTCATTGTACGCCACTGGTTTTTCTGAGTTTCATATTCTCATGAGATTAAACTTTTGGAACAACAACTTTTTTATCCTGTATGTGATGTTTGTATCTATAGCTTGATTTTCGAGGAAACAATAAAAAATCGATTTGACTCAAAATTTTGATGTAGACGTGTTTTCACGACTCCCATTGAGATTACTCAATAACCCCAATTAGAATCATTTTGAAATTTTGGGACTTTCTCAGTCTCCAACCATACTGAATTTTGGCACCTTGAAGGCTTATACAAGGCCCAGCGAGCACAAAACATCTCAGAGATGTTAAAAGTACGAGATTTCGAGACATTGAACCTCCACTGCGATGTTCTATTCACACATGAATAGAACTATAATAGATCGAACAGTCGACAATGTCCGCCGCAGGCGGCAATTATCGAGATGTCCTTGATATGTCACAAAACTACCTTCTCCCTAGTTCTTTTTAAAGCCTTTTCATGGACACGACAGATTATTTTCAACGCGTCTTGCGCACATTAAATCGCTGTAAAAAAACCATTTTCGAGGTACTTTTCTGAAGCCTTTTGTCAAAACGAACTTTTGCATTAGGATTCCATTTCCCTTGAATGAAAAAATGCATTAAAAATAGATTGAACATAAAAATATTTTCTTGATATGAAATTACCTTCTTAATCGGTTTCTGAGTAGTGCTTACTAAACACAGACATATAATTGGAAATAGGTTTCCCAAGTTTTGAAATGTTCTCAACAATGCATAATTCTGCAACTGCGGAGAAGCTGATGTGTATTGATAAATTCGTACTTTTATATATTGATTACACTGAGGCACCGAACAACACATCTTGCATCTGATGGTCATTATTACAAACTAAATAAGTCTTCAAACACAATAAATAAATAAATTGCGAATAAGAAGACGTAAGCATTAGACGTTGTGGTGGGGCAAACACAGAAAGGGCACAAAAGAACAAAAACAATACTTTCTAAGACATCTTTGGGAAGTGCATATTACGCCCCAAAAAAACATCCTCATGCCTACATTTCTAAAACATCCCAAACCATCCCAGGGATACCTCTCAGTAGGCGCAAACAAAGAAATGCCCCAGAAGAACCAAAAGCAATACTTCAATATCCTTCAAAGACCTCTTTGGTCAGTGCATATTACGTCTCGAAATAACATCTTCATGCCAACATTTTCAAAACATCCCAAAACATCGCAGGGATGTTTGTGCTCGCTAGGAGGGGGGGGGGTTATAAATAAAAACAATTAATACTTTCAACTTCTACATCCTATATCTCCAAAACGGAGCAAAAGTTTTGTATGTTTTATATGAACTTTATTTGCTAGAATATCACAAGGAATCACCCCTTGAATTCTTTCGGTGTTATTTGGATACACCCTGTATATCAACTCACCTTGACTTCCTCTATCCGCCGTTAGGCTATGGCTGTAGGCTGTTTAGTCATGTCTCACCCCGTGTAGGATCTAAATTATATCACAATATGAAATCAATAACAATGAACTCAAAAAAGCTACATATCATTTTCGAGTATATGTTCTTCATGTTGATTTATTTTTAGGGCATCAATGGAACATTTCAATTGTACCTTCGATATATCACCTATCAAAGCAGTGAACGAAGCCACATTCATGATACGTGTCAAAAAACAGCACATTCCTAGACTACGACCGAATCAAAAAAATCAACCTCACGTTAGTCGCCAAAGCGGTAGTCAAGGTATGGTACTCAAAATAAGAACATGATGAAAAGAATCAGACCTCCGATCTGATCCAATAATCCAATATGGACATTTTTTACGAAGTTCGCAAAAACTGATGGAATGTAAATAGGATCAACATACCTTCATCAGTAGTATTAGTTATTAGTTACCAGATATTCGATTCATCGCTACAGATCTCCACTTGTAGTTTTACTTATCTTGTATTTTCAGAAGTGACACATGAATTACGCAACCACTCTACACTCTCTTTACTGCGAATTTCAATTCAACATTCAACCAAAGAGAGTCACCTACTATTCTTTGATTCAACGGTTGGAACCTGTTGTTCTCGCACTGCCACGTGGTGTTGATTGAGTTCATTGGTTTGCGCACACTCGCACACGCTGTTGCCATTCCCAGTGTTGCCACATAAATATCCGAAATGAAGCTCATAGAAGTCATGAACCAAAGGTCAGTATCCACTCAATGACAATGCTATTTATGAACTGAATAAGCTCTATCATTGGGTAATTCACTATATAGGTACTCGAACTCTTAGACAACCCTGTTGAATTCTATTTACGTAGCTGGGGTTTCTTCACTAATTTCCTTCTAATTTGTATAAAGAGTGTCCTATAACTCAACTAGCTTTACTACTACGACGTAAGCATTAGTGCAGTGCTTTTGTCCATAAAAATGTATCTATCTTACAGTACAATAAAGTATAATGTGCACAACCCCAAATTCGGTGAAGTTCCAGTTACCATCAGTCTGGTAGACAGGAACGACAATTTCCCAGAATTCGCTAACAGTCTGTACGAAGTCCACGTACCAGAAAATTGTGAAGTTGGAACCACACGCACAAGTGCTTGGGTTCGAGCATTCGATGATGATTTAGGAAAATTCGGTACCAGAGGAATGAGATACACCAACATTGCAGGAAGCATTGACCACATGTGAGTTTTCTTCTATTAATCCCATTTATTGGTGAAAAAATACGCGTTATTAGGCATCCATTCCAAGTGTCAAGAATGCAATGATCTCAAAGAGAGAGAAACTCAAAGTCATTACCGCCATAGTTCATAAAATGAACGTGAACTGCTATTTTTCGACCAGCACTTCCCGAAAAATATTATTTTCTGATAAATCTAATGATACTCGATATAACAATATATGGTACCACCATTCCCACCAAGACCACCATGTACAGGGTGATTCACCATAAATGTCCCCCCCTCTAGCTCACTTATTTTTGAACCGTTTTGAAAATTTGAAAGATAATCAAAAATGATTTTTCTGAAATTTTTTTCCCGTTGCATCAGAAAATACAGGGTGCTCGGAACAAACGATCTACAGAGTACTAATTGATTTTTTTAAATGGAACACCCTGTATTTTATTGTATTTTTAGATTCTTCCTGAAGAGCTGATTTCATCAATGTATCACACTTGGGGTTTAGCGGGAATGATTACAGAGATATAGGATGTTCAAAATCGAGATGTTTCAACTTTAGGATTTTTTTGTGCCGAAACTATTCATTATTGGTCAAAACGGCTCCTATGTTCCCATCCCAACTTTCGATTTACTATCTAGTGAAATTTAATTGGAACATTTACAGGGTGGTTCAAGATTCAGAATTCTGGTCACCCTGTATCTGTTCCAATTATTAAATGTCAGTAGATAGTAAATAAAAAGTTGAGATACGGACATAAAAACTGCGTGACCCATAATGAATAGTTTCGTCACAAAAAAAAATCCTAAAGTTAAAAATCTCGATTTTGAACACCTTATATCTCTGTAATCAGTCCCGCTAGACCCCAAGTGTGATACATTGATCAAATCAGCTCTTCAGGGAGAATCTGAAAACACAATGAAAAATAGGGTGTTCCATTTAAAAAAACCAAATAGTACCCTGTAGATCGTTTGTTCCGAGCACCCTGTATTTTCTGATCTTGCGGAAAAAAACTTCATCGAAAATCATTCAAGATGATATTTCAAATTTTAAAATCGGTTCAAAAATAACTGAGCTAGAGGGGGGGACATTTATGGTGAATAACCCTGTATCTATGCTCGGTATTACCATCAGCAATACTCTCTCATGGGAAAATCATGAAAATATACTTTACACCACAACAGCTTCTCATGATCTACAAAGCACAGATACATCCAGTTTTAGTCTACTGTTCTCATGTATGGGGTTCAGCACCCAAACATACTATAGAAAACCATTCGACAAACGCCAGCATCTGAGAGTCGCCATATTTGTTGGTGTTTGGCTTCAGTAACAGGTATTTCGTTGTTGTACACGTCCAAATGGCAAATGATACTAATAAATATACTTATAGGAACATAAATTAAAGTATAGTGGTGATCTGGCGATATGTGATATCGAGTGTGATATATTATGCAGTTGGAAAGGTTTTGAATTGCAGTTATTACCAGTTGATGGTTAGGTAAGTCATCAGTTATTCTAGGTTAGATATACATTTCACAAATTCATACAGCGTTTTTTGATCTAAGCGGATCGTTCGATCGACAATAAATAAAATAGAATAATTTCAATTATTCGTATACCTACTATAGTTATAGGACAAAATTGTGATTTCCTTTGAGTGTGCAGTCAAAGTAAAACTAAGTGTATCTATATACTCTCTTTAGTGTTTGTGTTTAAGCTTTCGAGTCTTTATGGGCTCTTCATCAGGAACTCTATTGAATATAAAAAATTATATGAAATCAATCCTATTGTTTACTCAAACACTTATGGAAATCATCAAATATTATCACTCATCTTACTCTGTATTTAGCTGCTGTAGAAAAAACTTTAAGCTATAAAGGTACTCTCAGCATACCTTATGGATATTTATGTGAGGTATCAATGAATATTATCATAGTCTAGAGACTGTTTGATTTTTTTTAAATGAATAATTCCAGATGTAAAAACTTCATAAACGATAAATTCTTAAACACACAACATGTTTCGCTAACACAGTAGCTTCGTCAGGTGATATACTGGTACAATGAACCATATTTTTTTTGTTTCCCTCTATAAACATTGTACCTATGTTCTTGGGATCAATAAATGTTATTATTATTATTATTATAGGTTCTTATGCAGTGCAGTGCCTAAGCTGTAGCACCGTTATATCGAAAACATTTCAAAATTCTCTCAATTGACTTATAAATTATGAAATAGTCGACACAATTATTCGATTATTAGAAAGTAACTGCTATGTATAATTTATAATATAAAATATGTAATTTTCCTATACTTTCCATTCTATATGATGCCAGTAACCCTAATAAAATATTACAATAAGATTACATTTGTTGAAAAGGAATATTCTCAGATAAATTATGAACATACAAAAATGGATATATATTTATATAAAAACAATACATTGAGAATTCGCATTCTCTATGTGATGAGAATATTTACTCTTTTTCAGTTAATTCAATAGAAAACAACTACTTTCCTGGCTATATGCCACGACGAACATTGAATTATATCTATTGAACACACACGATAAGAGTTTGAAAATAAAATATAAAAATTTCTGAAATTGAGAATTTGCATTCTCCTTCAGACAAAAATATGTATATACACACATCATTCTGAATATTAAACAGAAAACAACTACTTTCCTGGCTATTTGCCACGTCGAACATTGAATTATATCTGATGAACATTCAATTGAATGTTCATCAGATATGTTCGACGTGGCAAATAGCCAGGAAAGTAGTTGTTTTCTGTTTAATATTCAGAATGATGTGTGTATATACATATTTTTGTCTGAAGGAGAATGCAAATTCTCAATTTCAGAAATTTTTATATTTTATTTTCAAACTCTTATCGTGTGTGTTCAATAGATATAATTCAATGTTCGTCGTGGCATATAGCCAGGAAAGTAGTTGTTTTCTATTGAATTAACTGAAAAAGAGTAAATATTCTCATCACATAGAGAATGCGAATTCTCAATGTATTGTTTTTATATAAATATATATCCATTTTTGTATGTTCATAATTTATCTGAGAATATTCCTTTTCAACACTTTCATACCCAATCAGGGGGTTCAAACTTGAACGATGGAAACTTGTGATTTTTATAGACCTCTAATCGCAGATTCGTGATAGAGTCTCAATTCAGAATTCATTTCCACGCCCTGTATGATGAATGTCAATTTATCATACACCCAAAAGCAAGATTACATTTGTTGATTACATATGAAATATTACTGTACTTCATACACAATGTGACAATAACTTTGCTGGAATGATTCATTCGCGAACATCTCATTCATAATATTGCTGAATGTCCGTTTCAGTAGTTGCTGCTACCTTATTGCAGTAAGATAGCGACAATATCTGATCTAACATACATTACATTGAATTACTACTGCAATATTGTTGGGATATTACTTTGCCTTTTGGGTTATAGAAGCCAACGCAAGTTACGTATTGCTTTTTTCCTAAATATTGGATAACTGGTGACCTACTTGCTTACGTTTCACATATATGGCAGCAATCTATTGAAAAATATGGTGAAACCTTAGCCGTGACACTTGATATCTCCAAGGCATTCGATCGAGTCTGGCACCACGGACTCCTCGCCAAACTTCCATCTCATGGCTTGCCTCTCCAGCTATGTTCTCTGCTAGCTAGTTTTCTCTCAAACAGGTCCCTCCATGTAGTGGTCGACGGAGTTTCATCTGACTCTCTTATCATAAATGCTGGTGTTCCGCAAGGATCAATTCTAGCAACAACACTATTTCTACTCCATATCAACGATTTCTTGGAAGCAATTTCATGTCCAGTACACAGATTCGCGGATGATAGTACCCTCCATACCGCATTCTCATCCAGGGATCCAATACCAGCCAGACAAATCAGAAACGAACTAGGAGAAATGTTGACAACATAAATATGGACTTGGCAACAATTCTCGAATGGGGATCCAATAACTTGGTAGATTTCAATGCAAACAAAACACAAGCATGCCTCTTCTCTAGCAAAGCCAATCTCACTGTGCCCAACATAAGCTTGTCAGGAGTACCCATACCTTTGAAGACATCCATTTCGATGCTTGGGATTACTATCAGCAATAACCTTTCTTGGGAAAATCACGTGAGATCAATTGCTAAAAGTGCATCCCAAAAACATGGTTTTCTGTTTCGGGCCAGGAGCTATTTCACTTCCAGTCAGCTGCTTATGATCTATAAAGCACAGATCCGACCTGTCCTGGAATACTGTTTCCATATTTGGAGTGCAGCACCCAAACATACCCTGAAACTGTTGGATTCTGTTCAAAAAAGGGCAATTCGTCTCGTGGGTGATGCCTCGCTCACAAACTCGCTCACTTCCTAGGAACACCGTAGGAAAGTTGGCGATCTGGCTCTATTTCATAGATATTTTCATGCACGATGCTCTTCTGGAATATCAACAATTGTTCCTCCCTTGGCAGTCCCCGCGAGATTAACCCGTCGAGTTGAGGCTTCGCACCCCTTTGTGGTCACTTTGGAGACCTGCAGAACATATCTTTCGAAAGACTCGTTCATCCAACGAACAGCGAGGCTCTGAATCACATTGCCAAGGGAGGTGTTCCCAGAGGCATATAACCTCCAGAAATTCAAGAAGAACACAAATTCCTACCTTATTTCCCTTGGTTCTCACGATGTTCTCTGAATATTACAGGATATCTCTTTTCGTGGGATCCAGAACATATTATAAAAGATATTGGACCTAGACCCTCCCCCCTCAGGGATGAATCTTAATTACGCCACTGCTCATTGAAACACCCTGTATACAAATTCTTTCTCCTATCCTACACATTTTCTTTGGGATATATATTACAGCATACACAAAGTATTGAAAAATTATAGTAATGATTATTTATTAGAATTTTGGATTAATTACATAATGTTATACAAAACCTTATCCACATAACCTATTTTATGTGATAGGTGCCGAAATCGTTCATTCAACTTTATGTAGGTCAATCCATAGACCTCCTATAGCATGTAACATAATGTACCAAGGATCGTATTTCAGAGGAAGTTGCGTTTTCTGATTCACCGTCACTCTATAATTTTTCAGCAAGTGCACTAGTCCTACTTTTATTTGGGTTACACCAAAACGTTGACCTAAAACAAATAGCTCAAATATAGTCCAATAAATAAAGGGAAAAAGTTAAGAAGTAGCTTTTAGTACCTCATTAAAGTTGAGACAAAGTTTGACTGGAAAACGCGTGCGATGGCGGAGAAAATGGCCCCAAAAGACCAGAAAGATAGGTTTTCAGCCAATATCTCCTAAAATATGGCAGCCACTTTTTATCCTCAAATGGCACACCCTGTATTTTAATCCATAATCGGTTTGGGATTATCAACCAATTCAACGATACCGGGTATTATAGGGTGATGAGTTATTTTAAACGATTATGCATTAGAAGTTTCCATATGCTCAATGAGTGTGACAGAGAAAGACGTTATGGAAACTTCGAACACAAATATCTCCGTAATCGTTTGAAATAACCCTATCTTACCCGGTATCGTTGAATTCGTTATGATAATCCCAAACCGATTATGGAATAAAATACAGGGTGTGTCATTTGAAAATGAAAAGTGAAGAGTAGCTACCACAGGTCTGTCAACGGTATACTAACGACCGTGAAACACGTTGTATGGGAAGGTTTATCAAAAATAATAATGACAAAACTTTTAAATTCGGAAAATCAGGAGTATACAAACTCAACTGTGGATCTTGTTCTAAGGTTATATATCGGTCAGACAGGTCGTACGGGTAATCAGAGTATTCATGAACATAAGGTGAATTTTTTGAAAAAGAAAACAAATTGAACATATTATGCCAACCATATATTAGAAGAAACCCATAGTATTGATGATTATTTCGAAATTCTACACGTAGAAAATAAAGGAATGAAACTAAATCATTTTGAATCATTAGAAATCAACAAACTCAAAAATTCTGACATTTTACTTAACGATCAATAACGATTAATTCAAGTTGTTGAAACTTCATTCTTCAAATTTTTTCTACACAAGAAGTCGAACACGAATGGCAATTTACTCACCAAGACACACTCGCGGACCTTCGCCGAATGGTAGATAGGTATATTTCTGGATATTTTCTTTATCTAAGAACCTCTCGGGCTTGAATTCGTCCGGTGATTCGAAATATTTCGGATCATTCTGCAATCCTGTGAGAGGAATTATGATGGGTGTTCCGGCTTCCACGGTCACCGTGACTTTCTTAAATTCCGGATCGGTTGGAGTATAAGTGTATTTCTCCGTACAAACTTTCGTGAGTTGATGGACTATGGAGTTCTTTCGCATATTCTCTGAATAAATAAAATAAAACAGATAACTATTTACGAAGCTGGTCACAAAAATAGTTTTTTATTTATTTATTAATAGAAAACTAACAGGCTCATGCCTAATTACAAGTTTCGTTATTCAAACTTAAATCTAAATTACTAATAAGAATAAAAGTCATCACTGATCTGAAGGGCTATTATGATTTCGAAATAGCTCCAGCTAAAACTAAGATTATTAGGATGAAACAAAAACGTCTTTGCTACAAAAAAAAGAAAGAAAAAATTAAACTCAAGGAACCGACTTGAATATATTTAATAATTCTTTCCGAAACTTGGCTAGTTTGATATCGAAAAAACCTAAAGGCATCCTACCAGTGTATTTATTACAGAGTTGGAGCATATTATCCATTAGGCTGTGGTTTGCTATGGAAACATGAAAAAGATTAGGCCTGGGACGAAGTATATTCATAGGTAAGTACTAACAATATAACACGAGATAAAAGGTACTCACAATCAATTAGGCTATTCAATAACTTATAAATAAATACAATTCTATTGATATATCTTCTGTGCTCTAAATGATAAATTTTGAATTCGTCACGAATAGGTTGATACGATTCTAAGGGTGGGTTTCTTTTATGACTACGGTAGTACAGAAATTTCAAGAATTTGTTTTGCACTGATTCCAATGTTTTAAATGAGACTTGGTGATTTGAATCCCAAATGATGGATGCAAATTCGAGACGACTACGAACTAGAGAGTAATAGAGCGTTTTAATTGCATCGATATTTCTAAATTCGCTAGTTGTACGTTTGAGAAAACCGAACATTCTCAAAGCTTCCTTACTGACAATATTGGTATGTTCTATGAATTTCAGATTTTCTGTAAAGTGAACGCCTAAATCTCTCATAGAAGAACATCTCTGAACAATGGAATTGTTCATAGTATACATCAAATAATTAGGGGTTCTGGATCTATGGAAGGTCATAATTTTACATTTATCGAAATTGAAATATAATTTATTCACATTAGACCATTCTATAATTTAGTTATTTAAACACCAAGGTTGTGAAGAATATCATGACTACCCAGGGATGAAGATTATATTTCCCGCGCCAGCCGAGGAAATAAAAGCAGGTCCCGTGGTAATAATTTTTTTTCTGTGACGGGGAAAAATTGTTTAGGTTATGAAATGTCACTTTTCATGAATTATTTTTTTCCAACGGAAAAAAGTGAGTTTTTTTTCCAGGATACATATCACATATCCGAAAAATAAGCCATACACCGTCTCCGAAAGAACTGCAGTAAATTATAATCTTCAAGAAACATATATGTTTATAGCAGGGGAAATTATGAAAGAGCAACTAAAAATAAAAACAGATAATCAGATAATCATTTTTAAATAATATACATAGTACATATAATGTTGTTTCTTCTAGAGACTGTCGAATATAAGTTAGTGAATTGATTCATGATGAAATAAGAGAATCAAAGACATAGTTGTTTATTATACAAGGGAAAAAAGTAGTAGATTTTATCTCCAGGTTGTGTTGTCTCCCGACGCGTAGCGGAGGAAGACAAAAAACCGTGAGCTAAAATCTAATATTTTTCCCGTGTATAATACACTATTTTGGAAAGATATTACATTATTTTGAAATCTGAAAATTATCAACGTGAAATTTTAAGTTTTTAACAGTAGGGACACCTGCGTTGTAGGCATCTTTATCATTCTTTTGAAGTAATCAAATATCTGACGTCACTTCTGTCAGTCTAATTCTGTGATTTGATTTCAAAAACTTGCGAATTTAGTGGTTGTTTAGTAATATACGTAACCGCGAAGTCGAATGGAAGATAAAAGGACATGCAGTTCTTTCTCGGAGACGGTACTATTGACTCTTTTTTCGGAACTATAGCACAACAAAAGCCATCAACAATGTATACATATGTGATATACATCCGGGAAAAAAGTACTCACTTTTTTCCCACGGGAAAAAAGTAATTTATGGAAAGTGACATTTTATAACCTGCCAACAGAGATGAAATGCCAAACTTTTTTCCGTCACAGAAAAAATAACTATTTTTCTGTGACGGGAAAAAAAGTTTGAAATTTCATCTCTGTTGACAGGTTATAAAATGTCACTTTTCATTAATGATTTTTTATCCACGAAAAAAGTGAGTATTTTTCCCTGGATATAAATACAGTGTGACCCACTTGAGACCGGAGCATCCTTATAAAATCTTTAGTTTTCAACCGATTTCTTTTCTTTTTTCGTTTCATCAGAAGGACTATCCAGGAATCTACGTTTACACAAATTTGCAAAATAACATTTCAATCTACAGGGCATATACTATGTTATTTTTTTCATGTTAAAAATTGCGAAATATCATTAGCGATTTTTTAAAAAAAAAACGACCCCACCACGGAATTCAGCATCCTTCAATTAGGCTGAGCGCAAAATTTCATTGCAAAATTTCAATTGGCAACAAAGTTATTACAACATTAATTTTGATTGCTCACCATTTTTTATGAATATTTCAGACAAATTCTGAGAAGCGGCAACAATGTCAACACAAATGTTGGAAATCATTGAGGTTTTTGGTATTCATTTGAATTGATAACACAAATTATTATCGAGTTATAACATCTAAAATGGAATTTATCTTGGTATTCATGAAATGATTCATAAAATTAACAATCCATAACGTCGAAAAATCGGCTGCTCACAATAATTATCATCAACCAAGAATTTTCGTATCAAATAATAACTTCATTTTGATTTTATCATTTCCAAATTTTCTACTAGCCATCGTACAAAATCGTACTAGTCAATAAAGGCACAGCATCTCTATTATAATTAATACTGTCACAAACTGTAGGCGGGGGTTGCCTAAGTTGTGTTCTAGATCCATTAGAGAATGAACTTTGAAAGTGATAATAATAAAGAATACTCCAAAAGGTTTTCAACTAAACATATACACACATTTATTCTTTGCATAAATGAATAACAATTAATAAAACCTTAACTTACCCTATATGTACATTAAAAGCTAATATTGCTGGGACCTTAGAGGAAGGGCATCTTCTGTTCTGCCCGAACTCCGACGGTTCGGGCACAGTGTCGAATGATCGATCGAGTCAAATGATTGAATGATCGTAAAGATCGGAATGATCGAAAATGATCCAACTGATCGAAATGATTGAATGATCGAATGATTGAATGATCGAAAATGATCGAAGTGATCGGAATGATACCTGTGCTGGCTTCCTCGCGCTTTTTATATATTTAATCTATATTTTGGAAACGTGACAGTGAGGAAGTCAGGTGGATGGTTTGAAGTCATTGTCACGCCTGTGTTTAGGTTCAACTATTAATCGAAAGTTCGTGGTTCAATAATTTTGGAAACAATAAACAGATACGTGAACGTTCAATGACTTCGAACCAATATGATTTTATAAGAATTTTGGAATTTAACTTCAAATATCTCCTCATTTGTGACAATACAAATTCACTGTTCTGATGCGAATTTCGAAGGTATTTATCAATAACGACACTTATCACTTATCATATTTTATGCTGGCATGGTCATGGCTAATAGATTGTAATTAGGATTCAAAAGAACTTTCATAGTGACAATAACGAAAATATTCCAGTTTCACAGGAGTAAAATAATTGAAATACATATTATATTGTGAGTGGCAGAAAAAAGTTGATATACACGTTACACAAGGTATCACTTACCGTTGAAACAAGCATCCAAATATGACATTTCATGGATGGATTCATAGGAAAAAGAATCATTATTTTTCATGTATGATTCTAATATTTCCTGCCTTAGTTTTTCCTGCACCCGTGGATTTCTCGCCAACTCGAATAACAGAAAACTCATAACCTAAAAAATGAACATCGATTAACCCTTAACTACTAACGTTCCAAATATACACTGTGTCCATAAAGTCACCCCCCCCCCCTGGTTAACTATTGAACGGATGGGATTTTTTTTTCAATTTTTTTTGCTTCAATGGTAGTTTCAGTGCTATATATTGTTCAAAAAATAAAAAATGTATCCTCCAAAATGGCGCCTGCGCGTGGGGGGTCGAAAGATACCTCGATTGAAAGGTCCTTCGATTCTCTATACAACCTCAGAATCTCTGACAAAAATATTCATCCAAAACAAAATGGCGGATGATAACGTTTGAAATCTCACACCAGAATTCTTTCGACTGGATGGCTATTAAAGTGCTCGCATGTGATCTTCAAATCTTTATTGGCGTATAGAAGAGTTCTCTATCTATGAAGATATCAATAGAAAGCCATTTTGAAGAGAATAACATGGTAGTCACGTGGAATAAACATTGTTCTTTATTTTGAATAAATATTTCTAAAATTTTGCAGAATTTGGAAAGACAATCGAGCAAAGGTATAATTGACTACCATGTTATTCTCTTCAAAATGGCTTCCTATTGATATCTTCATGGATAGAGAACTCTTCTTTACGCCAATAGAGATTTGAAGATCACATGCGAGCACTTCAATAGCCATCTAGTCGAAAGAATTCTGGTGTGAGATTTCAAACGTTATCATCCGCCATTTTGTTTTGGATGAATATTTTCGTCTGAGATTCTGAGGTGTATAGAGAATCGAAAGACCTTTCAATCGAGGTATCTTTCGACCCCCCACTCCATTTAAAAAAATCTTTTTTTTTTAACAATATATAGCACTGAAACTACCATTGGAGCAAAAAAAAATTGAAAAAAAAATCCCATCCGTTCAATAGTTAACCAGGGGGGGGTGACTTTATGGACACAGTGTATAACGTTGTCACTAACCATACGTCTTACAGACGGGACTATTTGATTGTCCATATAAATCCAATTTTTTTTATTTTATTTTTGTGAGCTATTCGAACAGGTTCTCTACAGATTTGGCGAAGAGAGAAGATTTGGCGAAGAGAGAATGATGTTCAGAATTGAAGTAGAATAAAAATTCCAGTGGCGATCAAAATTTCATAGAGGAGTACCTAGTGTTCGAAATGTTGACATTGATCTATAGAAATACTAAAATAAAATTGAAATACTAAAATTATCGATGATATTATTGTCATTCTGAATACAGTTAAAGTCGTAATAAAAACCAGGCACAACGGCCATCATCAAACAGCAGTACTTTAGTTACATGAAATTATTAAGGATATAAGAACATGTCATTGGCTTGCCCATGAAGGCAAGTCAGGTATGAATATTGGTTCGTATATCCTTTTTGATAATTCAATGTAACTAAAGTACTGCAGTTTGATGATGGCCATTGACCCGAAACCGGTTACTGTTTTATAATTTTCATAAACATAAACATAAAGTGTAGTCGACCGACTTTGAGTTCTTGATTATCTTTGAAAATTCATCGGACCAGTTTGAGTATGGATGATTTCTACGAGATATTAGTAGCGTTTTATTTATCCAATTCCGTAACCTCTCCGATTCCGGTTGCTTCTTTTCATTGCGTCTATCTACAAGGAATGACGTGGAATGACTGTTGGCAGTTATAGTCAAAGAATTTATTTTATTTATTTATTTATTTAATTTGTAATACATCCAGCAGGCCAAGGCCCAATTACAGGAGTATATAATAGAGATTACTATACATATGGTTGAGTGTGATTTCAATTAGGTATAATCAAAGTTAGTGAAAATTTTAGTTAGGAACTAAACTGGAAATGGTTTGTTTAAATTGTTTTGAGGTGAGAAAAAAATATCAACAGTTCCAAGTTTATTATAATTTCTGCACATTGAATTGATTGGGGAATGAAAATGGTGCTGTGTGTTAGACACATTAATGTGGAATGTATCTTGATACCGAGAGGCTAATCGGGGTATACTAAACTCGATCTGCGAAAGTAATACTGAGGAGTCTATAGTATTGTGTATAATTTTATAAACAAAAAGTAAATCACCTATTTCTCTCCTCTTCTTCAGCGATTGGAACTTAAACTCATTCAACAGAAGGTCATAATTATAGTGCCTTTCGGGGTAGACTTTATATTTTTTGTAAAATAAGTATTTCAGAAATTTACGCTGTACCATTTCAATAGCAGAAATTGTTTGTTGGTGGTACGGAATTGAATTAGATTGACGAAAAACGAAACTTTTTGAAACTAGAAGATATTTAGAAGACATTTTTATGGTGAGGTTCACAAGTTTTTGATCCTTTCAAGTGAGACAGGTTTCATATGTTTATGTTCATTCCCAGATGAAATGAATAATCTCGATCTCAGAAAAGTTTGTCCAATCACCACAATCACTGCTCCAAATATACGTTAATTCATTTTCTCTTCAACACTAGTATATTGATTTTGAAATTATTCGGAGCCCCAATATACAAGTACAGTGTGTCCCACTTACCATGCTCACCATGGGTATCTTTTTAACGGTGAGAGATACGAGGTGGGTTAAATGACACCAAATGTGGAGTTTGTCAAGGCCAACTATAATGTGAAAAAATATTTTGATAAAATCTATTCGTTTTTGTTTTATACGCAAAAAACAGATTTTGATCATTTTCATGTGTCCTCCGTAACTTCTTTATTTATGAAAATATTCAAATAGGAATTTCACATTCTCATGGCAGTTTTTCAAAGTGATTTCGAAAAAAATATGAAATTCATACCAACTCTTCTAATATTTGAGATATCAGCACCAACTTTAGTTTTTCAAATGTAGGTCATAGCTCACTATGACTTACAAATAACTTTTTTCTCTTACAGATGATATGTCGTAGTAATAGTTTTGTGTTGATAACAACGGAGTTATCGTCATTTATACAAAAACAAAAAACTATTTGGAAGCCGCCATCTTGAATTTATAAATTTTAACAAAAAAATCATGATCTTCGACCTCAAACACCCCCACTTACCAATTTTGAATGGAATCGAGCCAAATCTTGTCCGCCATATTGGAGCAGCCATTTTTTTAAATTTCAACAGAAATTCCATAATGTATTGTCACCGAAATTATGAACACCTGTCAAATTTCAAGTTGATCGGAGTTATGGAATTTTTGTTGAAATTAAAAAAATGGCTGCTCCAAGATGGCGGACAAGATTTGGTCCGATTCCATTCAAAATTGGTAAGTGGGGGTTTTTGAGGTCGGAGATCATGATTTTTTTGTTAAAATTCATAAATTCAAGATGACGGCTTCCAAATAATTTTTTGTTTTTGTATAAATGACGATAAATCCGTTGTTATCAACACAAAACTATTACTGCGATATATCATTTGTAAGAGAAAAAAAAGTTATTTGTAACTAAGTCATAGTGAGCTTTGACCTTTATTTGAAAAACTAAAGTTGGTGCTGATATCTCAAATTCTAGAAGAGTTGGTATAAAATCTGTTTTTTGCGTATAAAACCAAAACGAATAGATTTTATCGAAATATTTTTTCACATTATAGTTGGCCTTGACAAACTCCACATTTGGTGTCATTTAACCGACCTCGTATCTCTCACCGTTAAAAAGATACCCATGGTGAGCATGGTAAATGGGACACACTGTATAACCTCTAGCATCTATGATAAGTCAATTCTCTCATGCCAGGTCAAGAAGTTTCTCGTTTTATTTGCAAACGTCATCCTGTTCCCACCACCGCTACTATAACTATTATAGACGTTCAACTGTTTCCTCACCCTAGAGCTTGATTCATAGCCATCTCCGAAAAAACTAGCCGCATGTGCCGTCATATCCAAATCTGTGAATACGTTGGAGCCATCTTTGAGTTGACTGACATATTCAAGAAAATCATTCCTGACGATGTTGTTTTCTTTTCTTTGTTTCAAAGTAGCTGTAACTATGTCCAGTAGTTTCTGTGTCGTCTGGTCTGATACTAATCTGGAAATCATGATGAAAGAAATATTGTCAGTATCTTAATGTCGAACTTCAGGTAAAATACCAGAACTTGATTAATTCCACGAATCAAATCTCAAATCTAAAAACATCCATCAATCACCAAACAAAATGATTTTCATTCAAAACGATAGACATGTGTCAACTTTATATTTCGCTTGAAGTTCACAAATTTTGAAAATCCGAAAATTTGAACAGAACAAATTCACTTACAAAGTTTGCAAATCTGAGAAGACTTGTAATTACTGTCTGTAGGTTAATCAAAGAGGTGGTATATTCATTAATCCCGATTTTTTGGGATTGTCTCTCCTACTGACTAGGGTCCCTTGATGTAAATTGACGTATTTGTCATCTTAACAGGGTACATACAGATCCTCGTCTCCTCTCACTCTAAAGTGTTTGTGAAACAGTTATATAGTTCCATCTCTATTCATTTCTGGGGATGAACACTAGATTTCTGACATTTGTTGTTTTTTAGGTTATATTGAGGTCATTGGCGCATCATACGTAATTTCCACATGTCATTTCTCATTCAACTCTACATATTATATCCAAATGATGATGATTATTTTCGAGTTTTTCAACTCCAGTATGAACTTTGTAAGGCAGTGAGCGAATTTTTCTGAAAGCTTAATACGTTTTACCAAATGCTACTGTTTTTAGGCAGTACCTATCAATTAATGATTTTTGATTTCAGACTAAGCCTTATGGTTGAGAAATGGTGAAAAATGTCATGTATTTAAATTAATGTGCTCATATGTCATGTGTGCTGTATACAGGGTGTCCCACTCACCATGCTCACCATGGGTATCTTTTAAACGGTGAGAGATACGAGGTCGGTTAAATGACACCAAATCTGGAGTTTGTCAAGGCCAACTATATTGTGAAAAAATATTTTGATAGAATCTATTCGTTTTTGTTTTATACGCAAAAAACAGATTTTGATCATTTTCATGTCTCCTCCGTAACTTCTTTATTCATGAAAATATTCAAATAGGAATTTCACATTCCCATGGCAGTTTTTCAAAGTGATTTCGATAAAAATATGAAATTTATACCAACTCTTCTAGAATTTGAGATATCAGCACCAACTTTAGTTTTTCAAATGTAGGTCATAGCTCACTATGACTTAGTTACAAATAATTTTTTTTCTCTTACAGATGATATGTGGCAGTAATAGTTTTGTGTTGAAAACAACGGAGTTATCGTCATTTACACAAAAACAAAAAACTATTTGGAAGCCGCCATCTTAAATTTATAAATTTTATCAAAAAAATCATGATCTCCGACCTCAAAAACACCAACTCACCAATTTTGAATGGAATCAGACCAAATCTTGTCCGCCATCTTGGAGCAGCCATTTTTTTCAATTTCAACAAAAATGCCATAATGTATTGTCACCGAAATTATATACACCTGCCAAATTTCAAGTAAATCGGAGTTATGGAATTTTTGTTGAAATTAAAAAAAATGGCTGCTCCAAGATGGCGGACAAGATTTGGTCCGATTCCATTCAAAATTGGTAAGTGGGGGTTTTTGAGGTCGGAGATCATGATTTTTTTGTTAAAATTTATAAATTCAAGATGGCGGCTTCCAAATAATTTTTTGTTCTTGTATAAATAACGATAACTCCGTTGTTATCAACACAAAACTATTACTGCGACATATCATCTGGAAGAGAAAAAAAAGTTATTTGTAACTAAGTCATAGTGAGCTATGACCTACATTTGAAAAACCAAAGTTCGTGCAGATATCTCCAATTCTAGAAGAGTTGGTATAAATTTCATATTTTTTTCGAAATCACTTTGAAAAACACCCATGAGAATATGAAATTCCTATTTGAATATTTTCATAAATAAAGAAGTTACGGAGGAGACATGAAAATGATCAAAATCTGTTTTTTGCGTATAAAACAAAAACGAATAGATTTTATCAAAATATTTTTTCACATTATAGATGGCCCTGACAAACTCTACATTTGATGTCATTTAACCGACCTCGTATCTCTCACCGTTTAAAAGATACCCATGGTGAGCATGCTAAGTGGGACACACTGTATATTCATGTTGGGAATCATTTTCGCAGTTTTTCACTAACACTTAATATTTCCTGAATGTAGGTATGATTTTTTAAATAGTAGGGCATATTCCTCTTCTTTTAATCCTCCATTTCAATCAAAACTGTTTCTACTAATATGCATTCAAAAACTTGTGTAGTGGATAATTATAGGCACAATAAAAAAGTATGATATTTGATGTCGTATAAGTTTTACCTCGAATATTTTGCTGATGTATCTACCAATTTTCCCCATTCGGTCACTTCACTTTCCATGTTCAAAGTTCATTTGCATTTGATGGAAAGCTGACAAATTCAAATTTGCCATCCAACAGATTGATACAGCCTAACGCAGCACATTTTACCATCTTCCCAAAACAGAATTGAATAATGTATTAGGATCGAGTATGACATTAAAATTTTGTAAGATCTTTCTAACGCCTATGAATGTGACGTGACACCAATGTCATATCAGGGACGCCAATACACGAAACCAAAGTCACTAGATGATTAAAAGAGAAAGGAGCTATGATCTGTCCGTACCCTGTTAGATGACAAATACGTCAGTTTGCATCAAGGGACCCTACTATACTGACAAGCGAATGAATTTTCCTTTTGGGCTCTCTGATCGAATTTTTTTAATGCAGTGTCATTTTGGGGCAAACCATATATGTCAGTGGTCCATACAAAAAAATACACACTTACTTAATTTTGAGGAACGTTGCCAATGCTGGGATGAGGAAAAGAACAGTAGTTTTGATCGACATCCAGAAATTATCAGGTGAGAGAAACTCATCAGCCATCCGCCTGAAACTGGAATAGGGTTCATCGAAACATCTGCCTTCGAGGCCGAACGCACAACTGGCAACGTTGTCCAAAGTGAATCTGATACAAAGTTCTCTACTTTCCATCGTCGATGACTTCGAAGTTTCGTCTTCTACATATCGCACCATTCTCTCACTAGATTTACAAATCAACGGATACATACCTTTCATCTGAAAAATCAATATCATTTATTTTTTTCATTGGTACCCTATTTTGCTTATTCAAAAGACGCCTCATCGTGTTTGAAAATGTGGAGTCTGAATGTCAGCATTTTGATTATTGATCTTACAGGAGTATCAGGAGTCAAATATTATATCAATAACAAATGTTTCAAGTTGATTATTATTTTCATTATTTCAGATATTTTGGGATTTTCTCTCATCGTTTCTATGAAATGAAAATATGAATATTATTTCAATTTTCGTGTAGTAAGGACAAATTAGATGATTTGCCCCAGAATGTCACTGCGTTTGAAGAATTTTTTAATCAGAGAGCCTAAAAGAAAAATTCACTAGCTTGTCAGTGACAATTTGTATTGAAAATGGTTTGGAGAAGAGAAATAAAGATATATAGAAAAAATATCAAATTTTCTGCTCCCGATTTCAACATAAAAAATGGACATTTATAATATAGCAAATTCGTATTCGTCTTGACACTTCCAAGTTCTCAGTGACAATTGGTGACGTTGGCGATCAAATGAGTTATAGGATGTTTTCATTAATAAATCATGAATTTACCATTTTCATTTTCAGATTTCAGTAGTGAATACCATGTTCTATCTATATCAACTGAACAGAAAGCAGGATGAAGTGTCTCCGTTCAGAAGAATGCAAGCAAATTCCTACAGACAGTATTTGATTATTATTTTCTCATTTCAATGTCATGAAAGTTATACTGATGTCACGAATTCCACCATTTTATATAACTATATAAAAAAAGAGAAAGTTACCTTTCCTGACGTAAAACAAGAAGTCAATTGTGCTCGTGTGGTCTTCCATTCAGTTCCTTTCAGTACGAACGGATTTCTTCCGAATATCGGATCAGTCTCCTTGTCGATATGAATGTCATTATCCTGAAAGTGGTTGAAGTCTTTGACTGTTATATTCTTCACGAAATCTGGATCTCTAACGATCAAGGCAGGACTAGTAGCTCGGAATATTCCCACAAACGGATACCCCTCATATTCCCTGTAAAATATTTTTCAAAACAATGTTAAATTTTTTTTGTCTCTTCCTCTCGAATCAATTTTAACGATTAATGGCAAAAAGTGGAAGCTTCAACAGTTTTGATTGAGTGGAAGAATATGAATATACGGTATACCTACACACTAGACAGCACAGTATATTCTATTCCGAAGAATATTCATATAAAATATGATAAGGATATTCTGAATGTAAATTGAATGTTTTACTAGAATATCCATAGTATTTCATCTGAATTTATCCTAGGAAAGTTCGTAGAATATTCCATTATATTATATACTATAAATGTACCGTTACTCAGGAATGTATTGTTCGAATATTCTATATAGGTGTTCCCACGGGAAAAAAGTAATTTATGAAAAGTGACATTTTATAACCTGCCAACAGAGATGAAATGCCAAACTTCTTTCTCGTCACAGAAAAAAAGGATTAAATAATGGTAGGTTCTATAGCTAGTGGTGGAAAGGAATTGTTTCTCATACATATGTCCTAACACTCCTAACTTGCTTCGTTTTTGAGATACAGGCAGTCAAATTTCTCGGAAACAATTTATTTTTCATCGACTATTCAAAATCATTTTCGCTGAATTTGATAACACTTGTCATGGTCATCTGCGGTAGCAATTTACCGACTGTTTATTCCTTGAGTATGTATTATTGAATAATCGTTTGACCTTCGATGATTTGATTAAAATTAGTTTTTAGTTACCATACCATACACCATCTCACCTACACCTTATGTCTAAATACATCTTTACTAGAAAAGTATGAAGGTACTAGTACAATAGGAATATATAAGGGCATTTGGAGTAAAAAATGTGTCGTGAATCGAAACTAATTGATTGGTTTATACAAATGACCTTGACTCTTGGCGAATGATAATTGATTCCGGTTAACCCATTAGTGCCTGAGTATTTTTTTTTTTTTGTCGATTTCGGTTATTTTTCCAGGAAGAGTTCCAATTGGCATCTAGATCAAATCTGTGAACGTGTTTAACATTGATTTTTTGTTTAGAATAGATTTTTTTCACGTATGATATATCATACGGTAGGCATATGGGGGTTAGCATTATGAGGTATGAGGGTAAAATACGAAATAATGTATAAATACCTAAAGTAAAAGTTTTATCAATTCAAATCATCAAAATATTATTCATTGCTTCCAAGTGGACCAATCATTTTGATGGTGTATGATATAAGCGAAAACAGCTGTCTGGATGTAATCCAATATTACACTTGACACAGTAAAATTAGATCCAGCTAAATACATTGGCGAACTCAGCAGAGAAAGCACAATCCTGAATTGAATTGAATGAACTGAATAAAGCTGATTTCAGGATGAACAAATGTATATATCATCCACATATTCACAACTGCACCATTGAGACAAAATCTAATAAATGGCCAATACCATTTCCTTGATCGAATTCTGACGCGATTCAATCCTCGCATTTTGTCAAATAAGTCGACACCTCCCATTCCTTGATTATATGAGTGTATTATGTTGGGTTGATCAACATCTACTCATTCCTTTTTTTCTTTTGACCATTTTTTGTAGAATCCTTCGGTGAAGCATGTACCATTTTCCACATAATAATTAGTCCTGATGGTAACTTGACTATTGTCATGCCACCTGATCAGAACTAAATTGGTTTTCGTTTCCCTCAACACATGCGATGTACCTCGTTTCTGTTTTTTCAGATCAGTTAGTGGAGATTTTTCAATTCTATCTGATCGCAGAGTACCAATACAATGAATAATATTCGCTGTCAGAATTTTCAATAGTGGAAGCGAATTGATGCTTCATCCACGTCACTTTCGTTGCCATCTGCTGGTGGAAATATTACCAAATCTAATCTTTGACAACTATTTACTCGTTCATGATATTCGTCGTCCAAATTGAGCTCTTCTAGGTAATTCAAAATCTATTTTGCATCACGATTATCTGATGGATCATAAAATTTCTTTCTGCAACAAAAATACATTCATTTGCCTACAGTATGATATATCATACGCAATTTTTTTTTCAGTGTAGCGTAAAGTACAGGCCACAGCCAAACTTTCTGTTGAATCGTAAGTATTCCTTAGTGTATAATAGTCATATTCTGATGGCTTCACTCCTGATAAAATCACAGACAAACCAGATAAAACAACATAACCTCACCTGTTACTCATTTTGTCGAACTGGAAAATACACTGCTACGTAAAACTGATTCCGAATGCAACAAACTTTGATGGAAACGGTATTAACAATTATTTTTGTGTTAACAAGTGATTATTTGTATATATGACGTAATTAACGACTGTTTTTATCACATGAGATGCACACGCCGTGAATTCAAAATGGATTCTAACCTCCGTATGATAAATCATACCATAGGCATTAATGGGTTTTAATACGTTCTCATAACCTGTTGACATCTGAGAAACATTGAATGATTGAAAATATAGTATTAATTAAGACCCCCCTGCATCTCAGCTATCTTTCAACTCATACAAAGAGTAACAATTGTATCATTATACATTACGTGAAATCCAGGGACGGAGTCATATAACTCAGTTTTGCTTTTTAATACCTATATAAATGCTTTGCGCTCTTCAAAAATACATACCACTCATCTCTACGACATTATGAGTATTCGATGTGTACACTGCTTGTTTCAATTTCGCCAACATTCAGCATCTACTAATTAATGTTCAGCACTATGTATATTGACTATGGAAGCTGTGGACCTAATTAGTCGGTGGCTATAATGCTATAAAAAATGCAGAAATGCAGAATATTCTAGAATTATTGTCAACTAGGTACCTCTGATGAAGTATAATTTTTTTTCATACAATGGCGAATAATTATCCAGTATGTCGAAGATACGAAAAATTCATATACAGGATGTCCCAAAATTGCTGGGAGAAAGAGCTAGAAGAGGCAAAATAGGTTGAGTGGGCCCAATTTATTCATTTACCGAAATGTATCGTTTGTCCGTGAGAAGAGTTCTAAGCTTACATGAAAAAAACAGGTGCATTCCATTTTTTTACGACGGATCGACTCTTGTATTGATGATGGTGGCCGTCATATTGGACATCATTTATTATAAAGAACGTTCTGCCTTTGTTCCCACTGTCAACTAACTTTTGTATTACAATGTTATCAAACTTGTACTGGGAATATCTGTTACCATTATCAAATAAAACATGATTTTCCTTCGGGAATATGGAGAGTAAGAAGTTTTTACAAGAGTAACAAAATGAAGGTAATTGATCTGTCTTTTCGATAAAAAAAATTAGAACCATATTACTACCCTCAAGAATGTTTTGAAAAAACTGTCTGGGGGTGAGGGTAGTTTCAATCTCTCTACTATTTCTTCTTTGTTCCTTCGATTACTGAAAGGAGAGTAATCCTCTGAAATGAACTTTTGTCAAATTTCATCGAATTAGTTACACTCATTTCTTAATAGCGAACAAAAATGTGTTTTTTGTGTTAACTTTGAAGTGGTCTCACGGACAACCGGTACATTTTGGTATATAAATAAGTTGGTTCCAATCAACATATTTTGGCCTCTGTTACACGTGGAAGCTCTGTGATCCAGCAATTATGAGGCACCCTGAATAATTTTTCGTAATTTCGAGATCCTTGATTATTATTCGCCATTTATGTTTCGGTTACAAAAAATATACAGATCGAGTATTATATTTAAAATAAAAACATAACTTTGGGTTATATCTAAATAATTAGATTATTTGAAAAATCTGACTACGCCACTGGATTCCACGTAAATTATGTGAAAGAGACAGTTTCCTCTAATTTGAAAGATAGGTGAGATACAGGAAGGGTCCCAATATTGAACATTTTCAATTTAGTATTTAAAAAATGAAGCAATGAACATTTTCTTTACGGTATCCTGAGTTTCACAAGAAAGTAGCCAATGTTCGAGAAAACCACAAATTTCTATCTATTAAAATGAGTGATATCCCGTATAAATGGAACAACCTATACAGGGTGGTGCATAATAATATTGAGCACATACTAGGAAACTGATGTAATGACGTCTACGAATCATTTTTTCGACATCGAAAATGGTGTGCATTGATTACCTGTATATTTTTGTGAATATTTCTCCTGCTGAAAGCCTCCCAATGAAGCTCGGACCGATATTTCCTACCAGAGGCCATGGATCAGGTCCAGGTACGAATCTCTTTCTCCAATAATTCAAATTAATTGTTATCAAATAATAAAATAACGCTATGGATAGCGTGATCAGAACAAGTAACCACATGTTGATGACGATTGGACAAAACTTCGACTGGTAAATGATACAGACCTAAATTATATGCAATAAAGTTATATTACATTCAATTGAAATAGTCAAGGTCCAAAAATTAGTGTAATCAGAACTCATAGGGGATCACTATAATATCCTCCTTAAATTAAATTAAAATCAAATTCTAACAAGATGGGTTTCATTCTAGTGATATTCACAACAATTTTAGAGATGTAAACAGTTTATTTTCATTACCTAGGTATACAGGGCGTGCCTGGAATCCGAGCCGCATCATTGGCAACTCGTAAACCGTAAGAGATACAGGGTCGGTTAAATTATAGCAAAGTTGTGCAATTTCATGCCAAACAAAATGCCGTTTCAAAACTTGGAAAATTCCGAACACTAGGAATTTGTGTTCTCCTTAAATTTCTTAGATGTTCTGCAGGTCTCCAAAGTGACCACGAAGGGGTGCGAAGCCTCAACTCGACGGGTAAATCTCGCGGGGACTGCCGAGGGAGGAACAATTGTTGATATTTCAGAAGAGCATCGTCCATGAAAATATCTATGAAATAGAGCCAGATCGCAAACTTTTCTACGGTGTTCCAGAGAAGTAAGTGAGTTTGTGAGCGAAGTCATCAGCCACGAGACGAATTGCCCTTTTTTGGACAGAATCCAACAGTTTCAGGGTATGTTTGGGTGCTGCACTCCAAATATGGGAACAGTATTCCAGGACAGGTCGGAACTGTGCTCATACTTATATTTTACCTCAACATTTCTTGTTGCTAAGCGAAAATATGGGATGGTTGCGCGAGACGCAGGTGGGAAGTGCGGGAAGGGAAAGGATCGGTACAAGGTCAGAGGGAAACGAGACCACATTGGCAGTGGTAACCAAACCTGATAGTTAATTTGTGATCCATCGTTTCCATTTGCTCAGTTTCGAGGAGCCAAAAGGGTCATCATGTTTCACAAAGTATTCCAACAAGAATAATTCCACATCCGAAGGAAATGTGAATGATATTGTTGAACGGATTACCATCATGAGATGCTGTCTCACCGGCAAAATAAACCGGCCACCAAAAAATCTGCCCAAATTGTTCAGCCTGTAACTTTTTTAATCCTTGTCCGATTTTTCTGAAATTTCGATCAAATCGTAGATTCATGTTCCGGAATGTTTGTCTAAATGATAGTTTTCCTGAAAAGCTGATGACTTGATCATTATACAGGGAAAAACCAAAGTTACTCTTTCACCCTATACTTCCCAACGCCCTGTGGCAAAATTGCGTGATTGAACATGGCTTCATTCTGCTTCAGATTGAAGTGTGATCCCTTCTTAACACATAAGTTTTTGATTCACGTCAATATCTCATTTTTAAGAGAAGATACGACTGTTTTAAGGAAGCATGGCATTATAAAACGTTTTAATAATAATCAAAACTGACATGAACTTATTGATTAACAACTTCAAGGATTAATATCACATATTTCTATCTCACTTTCTTAACACTTACAGGAAAATTGATTACAAAAAACAAACAAGAAGCACACCTTTGCCAATAATGAGTATGCTCTCCTCGATATTGATTTACAGCATTCAACCGCCGTGGCATCGAATTGATCAAATTACTCAAGTAGCCTTGAAGAGTTGCTCAAAATTCTCCTTGAAGGGCGAATTGTAGCTTTTGAAGAGTATCTGACAAGGCTGGGCGAAGGCGAATGAGCCTCTAGAGGTCACTACCCCTAAGATAGGTAGATATAGGTTCTGAATTATTGTTATTGAAAATTAAAATCTATACTTTCTTGAAACACTTGTATCTTCTCTCAAAAAGAAGATATTGAAGTTATTCAAGAACCGTTGTATGAAGAAGGAACAGAAGATGATCCCACTTCGATTTAAAACATGATGAAGCAGAAGGTTGGAGAATGGTTCTGAATTATTGTTAATCAAAGTTTCAAAAATCCATACTCTGTTCAAACACTTGTATCTTCCCTTAAAAAGTGGTTATCGACGTAAACAAAAAACTATCATGTAGAGAAGAGATCACTCTCCAATCTAAAACATAATGAAGCTTAGTTAAACCACTCACCTTTCCCACAGGGCGTTAAGAAGTTAAGGGTGAGAGAGTAACTTTCGTTTTTCCCTGTATAATGATCAAATCATCAGATTTTCTTAGAACCTAATATCCGGCTCACATTTGGAAACATGAATCTACGACTTGGTCGGAATTTCACCAAAATTGGACCAGAATTGAAAAAGTTACAGAGCAAACAATTTGGCTAAATTATTTGGTGGCCGTTTTTTTTGCGGTGAGTGTATATAAGGTAGGACCCATCCTTTTGGCAAATCGAATTAATGGTTGACTGTACATTCTTACGACGTGTTGGGGACAGTATATTGTGTTTTAGAGATATTAATTGAAACTATTTATAAGTATATTTAGGGCTAGTGTGGATTTGATTAGACTATTTGCATTTGTATTTCCCACGATTGTGTGATTGCCTACTGTTTGTGAAATAAGAAGGAGGAGTACCTCATAAAGTCTGTTTCTACTGTCTGTGTATCATTATCAAGTTAGTAACCATTATTTGAAACTTGTTCAGGACAGTTTTGTTGAAACTTGTCCAAGACCGTTATGTTGAAACGTGTCCAGGACGGATGTGTTTGGAACGTTTCCGAACGTTCCATGAATCTTCACTGAGGTAGGACATTTACATTCTCTCGAACGTTTCTGAAACTCCAGATAGACTTGAAAGGAAACGTTTCAGATATACGTGAGACATTTCTGAAACGTTTCTGGTACTAAAATATGTTGTGGGGTACAGCAATACCACTCGTTTCTTACGGACACAATTTCGTGAACAATGAAGCGACAGAATTATCATAAGTAATATCACAATGGAGTTAAACAATTGGAGACAGAATTATGAAGAGATATTCAGAACAGAGTGGTATTTGCTCGACTATCTCAAGATGCATCACAGGCATTTATTATAAATGAATAAGTTATATAACCAAAGCAATTCATTATGACATCTACAGCTATAATTATTTTATGTCAAACTGGCAGACTTTCTTTTGTACGAAGCCCTGGAAGGGACACATAAAATAGAAAAAAAAAACTCTTCAAAATTCAGAGTTATAACTCGGAACTTTAAAATTCCGACCTATATTTCGGAATTTTACATCCGAAATTCCGAGTTATAACTCGGAATTTTGAAATTCTGACTCAGAATTTCACGTCCAATATTCCGAGTTATAACTCGAAATTTCACGTCCAATATTCCGAGGTATATCTCGGAATTTCACATCCAATATTCCGAGTTATAACTCGGAATTTCAAAACTCCCGAGATATAAGTCGGAATTTTGATGTAAGTGAAGTGTTTTCGCGATAACACTAGTTGTCTTTGGCCTGCGATTGCTCAGACTATGTAAGAATCTCAAGATGAGTGAAATAGTCTTGAAAATTCAGAAAACATCTTGATTTTAGGAGGTTGATAGTAAATAAAGGTGAATAAAGTCATTTTTTATTGATTAGAATAATTACAATCTACACAGACAAGGAACCAATTATCTCAATAACTCTTCTTAATCGATGCTGAAATGATAATAATTGTTCATTCTACTTTATGCAAGTCGATCCACAGACCTCCTATAGCATGTAACATTATGTACCAAGGATCGTATTTCAGAGGAAGTTGTGTTTTCTGATTCACCGTCACTCTATAATTTTTTAACAAGTGCACTAGGCCTACTTTTACTTGGGTTATACCAAAGCGTTGACCTAAAACAAATAACACAAATAAAAAAAGAACTTTGATTTGTTTTACCTGAAAATCGATCGCAATATACAAATTCGAGGTTTCACTGACATTCGACAGGAATAATGGTTATTTATGTATCAAGGGAATTATAAGGGCCTTAATTACCGATGGGAAAGTTTGCGTCCCGAGGGCCTCTGATTATTTTATTTCTGGCCGATTTCATTCATTACCTCCCCGATAGAAAGTTAAACATGTTTTCCCGTGGAGTTTTCATGTCATCGCAACGTCAGATGATGACCTTAACTACCAGGAATAAGGAGATTTGTTGTTGCTCGGTTGTTACTATGCATTCCTCATTTAATTTTAGGTAGAGGAAATTATAGAATCAATAATGTCCCAAGAGCGTTACGACCCTTCTAATTGGTAGCGTAACTATGACAACTACCTCCACATTCTTCAAGTAGTTATATCAGCTATTGTTACATGCCTTTGCTCAATGTCAGAATTTCATGTGTTGTCTCTTGACATTGACTTTGACTCATGTCAACGTCTTGTCTACGTCATTTTTTGACATTATTTTCAGTGTTTTCTAACCCCATTAGTTTAAATTTAAACACATGCAGGCTGTTTGCCCCATCAATTTTATTGATATTTTCCTTCTAGTAGCATTTCATAAGGGCACGGGGAACCCATTTTGTTGTCAAATGTGTTTAGCAATTACCCTTCATATACCTTTTTGGTATATGAAATTTTCACAATGAACTGTATGCGCTCACAGGGCCCTTCATTTATTGAGAACCCGTTTAAGTACTTATTAAACTCGATTTTTCGACTATGGACATTGGCAACAATTTAACTATCTGTGCTTTGTGGTGCAACGTAGCCCTTCACATGAAACAGAAATCCAAGTTTTTCTGAAGCAGCCTTCGCGATGGATCTGACATGAATTTTCCATGAAAGAGTTTTGCTGATGGGGATACCGAGCATAGATATAGTGGACTGGGTGGGAATGGTGTTCCAGGCATAAATAACTTTAAATAAATTGTGACTGAATCGAATAATATGAATGAAATGAATACAATATGTTGTTGATTGAAACTTTGTAGGCATTCGAATCATCATTTGTACAGAAAATTTTAAGTGCTTTATATTTACTCACCGAGGCACAATCGAGGACCTTCGCCGAATGGTAGATAGGTGAACTTCTGGATATTGTCTTTATCGAGGAACCTCTCGGGTTTGAACTCGTCTGGAGATTCGAAATATTTCGGATCATTCTGCAACCCTGTGATAGGCAATATGACTGGTGTTCCAGGTTCCACTGTTACCGTCAATTTCTTGAATTCCGGATTGGTTGGCGTATAGGTGTATTTCTCCGTACAAAGTTTCGTGAGTTGATGGACTAAAGAGTTCTTTCGCATATTTTCTGAATAAATAAAATTACAAGTTTTCATCAACTAAGTTAATTTAACTACTAGTAATATACTATACTGTCTGTAGGTTAATGGATAATTAATTAATTGGGATATACATCTCTCTAGAATTATTGGGATATCATAGAATTCGCCTACATTCTTCTGAACAAAGATAACATTGCTTCTTGTTCAGAAGATATACACGTCTGGGAAAAGGAATCTGCTCATGGGGATACCCCTCCCCTACTAACTAGCTTCTCCATCAAGATCGACAATGATTGGAGTGGTTCACGAGTATACGATAGAGAGAAAAACAGAACAACACTGCCAAACCTTGTCTTCCACCTACTTATCGCGTACGTTTTTTTTTTGAGGTGGTCAAAATCCTACATGGACAGACACCACGAATGATTCGCATACTACCATGAATGAATAAAGTCTTAAGAAAGGTATGAGAAGCTATACACGCGTTTTATTGAATGGTGCAACAATAAAGAAATGAAAAAACCGAATGAAGAATAGGTATTTTTGGCTCATTTCATAGAAGTGTCTGGAACCTAGAGACCAAACTCCTAATGGGCCTGCTGGCTTCCGCAATGAACCAACATAATGAGTCAAACTGTAAGTTCACAATAGCTATTACTAATAATTAATAAATAGAGAATATATATCTCTTGTTAGTTGTTCCTATTTGCTTGAATAATTAATTGAACGATTCAATCAATTTCCAATACGCTTGTAGAAAAAATATTGTTCCTAACTCATGCGGAAAGTTTCTTTCCCGCACTCGACTGCTTGCCCGAACTCCGCTTCGCGTCGTTCGTGTCAACGGCAGTCACGTGCGGGAAAGAATCACTTTCCGCACTTGTTATGAAAATTACTATACTGCCCGCTGGTATCGCATCTGATATGGGTCAACCAATGCGCAAAAATTCGTACGATCGCAGTTCACGCGACTCGAGCAAGTTGTTTGAATTTTTGTGATCATCTGTTCTGACGCCATTGCCGACAATAGTGAAATTTGACAAAATAAATATGAGTAGCAGATATTTTTCATGATTTTTTCGCTCAAATAGTTCGATAAATAGTTGAAGAAAATTTGTGCATACATTGTAGGATATAATTAGTTAGCTTTTCATTATTTTACATTCCTAACTCGTTTAGTATCATTTATGATACCAGGAGACTCAAACTATAGCTACATCTGAAATATGATATTTTTTGTGAAACTCACGGATGCAGAATTTGAGGGAATCGCAAATATTTTGGACTTGGATGAATCTGACTTGGATGAAAATTTGTTTGAGGACGACAGCGATGGTTGAGACGAACTGGACAACCCTATGCATGTTCAAGTACTAGGCGTAGGCGCTAGTGATGATGAAATGGTGGTTGCTAGTGACCTCTAGTGGATTTGATTCCGAGAGAGAGAGAAAAAGGAGATGGAGAAGAAATTGCGGCCTCCAACAATAAAAATGTTTGCCATGTGTTGAAGATACTTCGGATCCTGAAAATATTTCCATACCAATTACTAACTTCAACAAATACCTTACAATTTGCCAAAATTCCGAATGTTTTGGGGGTTGGACACCAGGGAATACCAACAGTTTCAGACATATTGTCAAGAAATCGTTTTTTCACCCTCCGAACCCATATCTAACTTGTGGACGATGATTCTGTATCAAAAGAAGCTGCCATTTTGTTGTCTGGGTCTAGACCCGAGGTATTATTAGTGATAACAATATTTTTGGAAAATTGATTTATCAAAAAAATTTCATTCATGGATATTATAAGTCCATATATTTCGTTCGGCGTCAATAAATTCACAATAATTTTGTGTTGGGCCCGAGGAGGATACAGTTTTTTTCATATTCATTAAATATCTGAGAATATTCCTTCCCACTATCCACAGTTGAGTTTGTATACCCCTGATTTTTCGAATTCAAAAGTTTTCTCTTTATTGTTTTTGATAAACCTTCCCAACGTTTTATTTGTTCTATAGGAAACTTTTAAGTCCTGTTTATGTAGAAATGAAGCTAATTTTCCAATTGATGATTCGAAATAGGTTAAAGTTTTATAATTTTGATTAGTGTTCTTGATGGTAGGATAAACTTCTCGAAGCTTAATTACGTAGTTCTTCAGAGGAAATGTTGTCTTTTTTTCTTTCTTTGACTGCAATAATATATGTTTTATGATATTGAGTTCTTCATTGATTTACTTCTGAAAAAGGGACATTCGCCAGCCTATTATATGCTGCATTTTTATCTTGATAAAGGTGTGTTGAATAATTACCACACTGATATCAATATTCATGAAGGTTCAATGACTAGCGATCGAATTTTTCTCTTTGGTTTGAATTGTCCTTAACACAGGTATATTGAAATGATGCTAATATTTTTATTTATAGGGAGGAAAAAAACCGCAAAAATATAGAGATATGAATACTTAGTGAATATTTTTCTACAATCTACGATGACCATAAGAACGATTAAATCATTAACATTTTTGAAATACAACAATTGATGAAATGACTCTTGGAGTGGTAAACTATGACATAGAAGTTGAATATGGAGTGAACATAGCTATGATAAGTTACTGACGCACATAAGTGAAACCTATCAGCAGTAAAACCAGAAGAAGAAAACAGGTCTGGCTCGAAGAATAATGCGCTGTTGCCAGATATAATTTCATCACTCACCATTGAAACAAGCATCCAAATATGACATTTCCTGAATGGATTCATAAGAAAAAGAGTCATTATTATTTTTGTACGATTCTATTATCTCCTGCCTGAGTGTGTCCTGTACACGTGGATTTCTCGCTAACTCGAATAAAAGAAAACTCATAGCCTACAACGAAGAAAAAATCACAAATTAATATGCATTTGAAACAAATCGCGGAAAAATCAATAATGAATTAGCAAATCATCTTCAAGATTGATTAGCACGAAAAAACTATAGAACATCTTTATATAATATGATCATTCAATCATTCTATATGATCAAAAATATCTGTAGTTTTTCGAAAGTATATCTTTTGAAAATAAAATCAACTACTTCAGTGTTGTCTGTAAGTTAATCGAGGAGGTGGTTCATTCATTTAACTTGGATTATTTTTGATTTTCTCTCATCGTTGCTAGTAAATGAAATTATGAGTATTATTCCAATATATGTGTAGTAGGGCATATATTGGAATAATACTAATATTTTCATTTTATAAAAACGAGGAGATAAAATCCCAAATTATCAAGTAAAATATTTTAATCGAAATTAAAATTTTAGTGGAAATATATAATCGGGTGTGGTTTAAACACGAATACGATTCGCTTGCAAATATAATAATTATAACATCTATTGATCCCAAGAAACAAATATGTTTATGGAGGGACCCAAAAAAATTAACAAACCTGAAATTGATATCCAATAAAATAGAAGATAAACAGTCATATCAGAATTAATCAATATAAAGGAAATAGTTAAGAGCGTATTCGACTGACTGCACTACTCCGCATTCATTTCCTATTTCTGAGCATTTGTCCATGAAAATATCTATAGAATAGAGCCAGATCGCCTACTTTTCTACGGTGTTCCAGAGAAGTGAGAGAGTTTGTGAACAAGCCATCAATCACTCACGAGACGAATTGCCCTTTTTTGGACACAATCCAACAGTTTCAGGGTATGTTTGGGTGCTGCACTCCAAATATGGGAATAGTATTCCAGGACAGGTCGGATCTGTGCCTTATAGATCATAAGCAGCTGACTGGGAGTGGAATAGCACCTGGCCCGAAACAGAAAACCAAGTTTTTGGGATGCACTTTTAGCAATTGATCTCACGTGATTTTCCCAAGAAAGGCTATTGCTGATAGTAATACCAAGCATCGAAATGGATGCCTTCAAAGGTATGGTTACTCCTGATAAGTTTATGCTGGCTTCTAGAGAAATGGTATGCTTGTGTTTTGTTTGCATTGAAATCTACCAAGTTATTGGATCCCCATTCGAGAATTGTTGCCAAGTCAGACGAAACTCCGTCGACCACTACATGGAGAAGCCTGTTTGATGGAAAACTAGCTAGCAGAGAACATAGATGCGGAGGCAAGCCATAAGATGGAAGCTTGGCGAGGAGTCCGTGGTGCCAGACTCGATCGAATATCCCCAATTTGTAAGAGTAGTTGAACAACTTGCAGAGAACAGGTGTTAGTTCGGGAGCACATTTCTTGAGAACAATCGGTGGAATTCCGTCGGAGCCACAAGCTTTGTTGGTGTTGAGACCCAATAAAATGTTCCTTATAGTACGTTGGCGAAAGGTGATCTCGGGCATATGACTGTCAATTGGCGTTATGTTTGGAGGATGTTGGCATTCTTCTGGGCAGTTGTGGCTAGTGTTCCACCTTTCTTGGTTAGAGGAGGAAATGAGCTGGAACTGAAGTTTATTTCTACAGCTTTGGCGAAGGACCAAAATGAACGGGATCCGTTAGAACATTCAATAAGTTTTGATCAGAATTTGGCATTATGAGCATCCTTTGATGATCGAATTGTCTCATTGCATATGCCTCTAGCCTCGACATATTCTGCTCTAGTCTCAGGGTCTGGATTTTTCTGCCATCGATGGAATGCTGCCTGTTTGGAAGCGACAGCTCTAGAGCAGTTTCTACTGAACCAGGCCTTATCGGAAGATGTTCTCCTTGCAGTGTTGCATTCCCAACATGATGATTCCAGAAATTGTCTCAGCACATCGTGTTAGATCTGTTGAGGAGAAACAAACACTCTTCCACGGAAACGCTGAAAAAAACATACGAAGACCTTCCCAGTCGGCCGAATTGTAATGCCACATGAGACGGGTAGGAATTGTGTTGCTGGATGGTACATGGAAAGAGCAGGTTGTGGAGATGAAGGTGTGGTCAGAGTTTCCAAGTGGGGCACAAACTTCTATTCTATATAGATCAGGATTGCTGGTGAAAGAGATATAGTGTATTGGCAGACTGGTTATTGACATCTGGAATGCGGGTTGGTAGTTCAACTAGTTGTTCTAGACCATGAGTGATGGCGAAGGCCTCAGTTTGAATTCTAAAGGTTTCATTTGGTTATCGGGTATGGCTCTTATCGAGATGAACATAAAAGATGATTTATTGAAATTGAGTGTCAATTCATGTTCTTCTAGCCCTAATATGATGGAAGCTATTCGTTTTTTTCATCTCCTGAATATTTTTTATAGAAGAGTTGTGTCATCGGCATATCATTTTAGATTACCTTACAATTCCAAACTGGAGATTTTACATATATAAGAAATGAAATAGGCCCGAGAATTGATCCCTGGGGCACCCTACAAGTTATAATTTTTTATTGAAGAAAATGAGTGCCCCTTATATACTTTTCATGGATTTGATAATGTTCTCTTATAATTCATATTTGATACAATTTCTATAGTAAAATTTCTAAAGTGACTGTAACAAATGCCTTTCGCAAATCCAGTGATCTTCAGTCTGAATGTAATTTCAGCTGAATGTCAGTAATTTCCAGTGTTGTACATTCAGTATCACAGAATTTCCGGAAGCCATATTGCCATCAAAAACAAATTGATCACTTTTCGTCTTCAACTTTAATCAACTCACCTCGAAAGCATTATTGATATTGAGAGCCCCTCCTCAAGACTGAACTGAGAAACTTACTGACATGAAATAGTTATTTATACACCAAGATAGTAAAGAATATCATCATTACCCAAGGCCCAAAATTATATCCCGAGGCTTCAGCTTCCCGTGATAATGATATTCTTTACTACCATGGGGTATATTAAATTTTTTCCACCACATGCAATATATTTCAATCATTATCGTTCTGTGCAACTGAAATATGGACCTATTGTCACTATGAATGCAGTTCCCTTCATAGCCATGACTATGACAGCATATGTCAACTCGTTATTGATAAATACGTACTAGATCCGAGTCCCATCTCTGCGGATATCGCATTTGAACAGTGACTAGTAATTCAAAAAATGACGAAAACTACCTTGGTAGTAAAAACACACTTTACGCCTCGAAAAGGAGTAGATAATGGTAGGTTCTACAGCTAGTGGTGAAAAAAATATTTATTCGATCGTAGTTCAACTGATTACTTACCCTAGAGCTGGATTCATACCCATCTCCGAAAAAGCTAGCTGCACTAGCCGTAATATCTACATCTGTAAATACGTTTGTATTATCTCCAAGTTGGCTGACATATTCGAGAAAATCATTCCTGACAACGTTGTTTTCTTTTCGGTATTTCAAAGTGGATGAGACAGTGTTCAATAGTTTTTGTGTTATCGTGTCTGATACGAATCTGAAAACCATAAAATACAACCACAAAAGTAGTTTATATACAGGTAGGCACAAATTGGGCACTTTTGAGGGAAACGCCCTATCTTCAAAATACACTGCCCTGCAAAATGAATATTTGAGCACGCGCCAAAGGCGAGTGCTGTAATCGTCTGAGTAATAGCTATTATGCGAGAGTAGAATGCCATACTTTATCTGCAAATATCCAGATACCGAAGCAAACCTGATAGTTCAAAAATATGTCTTTGAAAATCATATAGGTAGTTTTTAGATTATAACATTGCTAAAGCTAATGGGAGATGTTAGTTTCGACCAAAACTAATTGGAAAATGTTTCTTGAATTGAAATGTTCGATGTGGAAATGATAGCTGCGCAGCGGAGGTGCTTTGACAAGCCTGGAATTTTAAATGTCAAACAAAAAATTATAACATTTGCATCAGTCCGGTTATGGTCCGGTTCTGCTTTCTGTGAATGTATTGAAAGATAATGAATCAAATAGTCCCTGATTTTTACCGTAAATAGTGCAGTCTGGTAGTCAACTTCAGCCTCCTCTGGTACTCAATGTCCACTTATTTACTGGCCCGTCAATTTTTCTACTCATTTAGGAACATTATAAACTTTGATATTTGAAAGTGTCAGACTGATGTTTCATGATGTAATTACATTCGTCAAACATAGATACTCACAGAAGAGAAAAAACGTGTTCAAACAACATTTTTCGAAATATCGCGATATAACCCTACATTTTGCGTTTCTCTTAAAAGATAATAAAAAAATCCATATGATGCAGACTTCAACGCTCACAATATAATACAAACATGCTCTGCGCAAAAAAAAATCTCACTTGATTTTGAAGAACTTTCCTAGTGCTGGAATGAGGAATAAAATAGTGGTTCTGATGGACATCCAGAAATTATCAGGAGAAAAAAATTCATCAGCCATCTGCCTGAAACTAGAATACGGTTCATCGAACGATCTGCCTTCAAGGCCGAACGCACAACTGGCAACGTTGTCCAAAGTGAGTCTGACACAGAGTTCCCTACTTTCCATCGTAGAGGACTTTGAAATTTCGTCTTCTATATATCGCACCATTCTTTCACTGGAGTTTCGTATCAAAGGGTACATACCTTTCATCTGAAAAATTCAAATCGACTTCTGATTGATGCAAATTTCGATATTCATGTGCTATAATATATATGTACGAAGTTAGTTTCATGAGTTGTTTAGAATCTTAAAGTTACTGGTTTGAACGAACGTTTGTTTTACTTATTTCCAAAGTGAAACAAATATGGAGAGGATATCAAATTTTGAGGACCTATGTGGAACCACTTCCAAATCGACAATAGCATAACCGGATCTAAGGTCCGTATTTATCCCAGACAGCACTGGATATTCCTAGAATATTCTCTAAATATGCTAAAAGAGAAGAGTATATTTCGAATATTCACTGAATATTCCTAGAATATATATGTGCCTCTGGAATATCCAAAGAATATTTAAATATGAATATTCTAGTAATATTCCAAAATTATATACACAGAATATACCAGAAGGAATATTCAAAAGGAAGTATAATAACAATACAACTCAACTTGAAATTATGTGAGTCTTTCATTAAGTTTGTGTGTGTAGAATTTCTTCATTTGATTTTTGAAATTGCTAATATTTGGGTAATATTTGGGCTATCTGTTATTTCTTTCGAAAGAGTATTGTAAGTCTTCAGGCATTGAATGATGAGGTTGTTTAGGTCCATATCTGTATCATAAAATAAAATTCAGAACCGATGTACATTCTCTAAACTTAAGACACAGAAATACTCTTACTATACCTCGTCACCATACTGAGTCATTCAAACGATCGTTTTCTTACTGTATTGCTAACCGTCTCAATAACTTACCCCACGATTTCACTCGCTCATCGCTACATAAACTTAAACGAGTTCTCTTTGACTACTATTCATCTGAGCAATAATTAAGATTTTTGGAAAAAATTGTATTCCCTCGGTCAAGAGCTAAACTAGTATCCTTTTTATCCTTTCTGTGTTGATATGAATTGATTTAAATTATTTATCATTATTTTCGCTGTTTTTGACTTCCTTTTGGGGTTAGATGGAAGAGCAGATGTATGTTAAATGTAAAATTTATATTTCATACTGTACATTTTTTTTAATGCATACAAACTGAATCTCGCCCTAACTATGCACTAACAAAATTTAATTATCTTTCATTAATTGGTAATAAAGACATTTATTATTATTATTATTATTATTATTATTATTATTATATTAGTACGCACAGGTTCTAAGAAGATATTGTTTTGCGTTCTGGTATTATGATCATGTAGCTGATTAACAAAAGTAAAGTTGGTATTACATTTAAGTTCATTTTTTATAATTTTATATAACAACTCGGCTTGTTCTATTTTCAAGCTGTCTTGAATTGGTAGAATTTGAGTTTCTCTGTATATAGTATCTGTTGATGTTCTATGAGTTAATCTGAATAAAATTTTTATATCTTTATTTTGAAGAACTTTAATTCTATTGAATAGTGTTATGCCACATGTCCCCCATATTGGAAGTAAGTAAGTAAATATTGACGTAATGAAGATGAGCTAAGGTAGTCTCTGCAACGATATAGGGCACCTATCATTGGAACCACTTTTTTGTCTTCTATATTGTTGTCTAAGGTTCTCATCAATTGATCTCTCATTTAACATCTTTCCACAAAAGATATTATTTCAATATCTATTTTTCATTTCATATCCTCTAACCAACAAATAAGCTTGATTTTAAATTTCTAGATATAATGTATTTTACCTTTCCTGAAGTAAAACAAGTAGACAGTTGTGCCCGTTTGATCTTCCATTCAGCTCCTTTCAATACGAATGGATGTCTACCGAATAGTGGATCAACCTCTTTGTCGACATGTAAGTCATTATTCTGAAAGTGCTTGAAGTCTTTGACTGTGATATTTTTCACGAAATCTGGATCTCTAACGAGCAGGGCGGGAGTAGTAGCTCGAAATATTCCCACAAACGGGTACCCCTCATATTTCCTATGAAAAAATTCAAAACATTTTAGAGTTGAAAATTATTATGTTCATAGAATACAAGAGCGTGAAGTTCACGAGGCATTCCCGAACCCCATCGTCTCATTAGTCACAATAAATCGCGTGATCGTTATGAAGGGCGCAGAAACCCTCTGGGTCCCGAAAGGAAGTAAAAACATCTATGACACGCTAAATTAGTACGTCAAAGAACACAGTCGGCTGACGCCATGCTATGAGCGGAGGAATGCTTCGTGAGATTCAGGCTCCTATCAAGGTAGTGCCTACCAATTGTTTTTTTTTAGTTTCCTGTTTATTCATGATGAAAAATCGTTTAAACTTTATTAACCTTGATATAAAGAGTGGCATAGTGGTTCGTTTAATTTTATTAGGGGTCTGTTGAGAATAATTGATACTCAATAACAGTTATTCATGTGTCAAGGTCATGCATAGGAGTTTTTGCAAATTAATTAACGTCTTACTATAGTCAGAATGGAATTTATCAATGATTTAGATTTTATTTATCGAAATCATAGATGCCACTGGCGAAGAAAGTTGGAATGGTTCTCCACCAGAAATTACTGAAAAAACAGTTGAATTACTCCAACGCCCACCGTACCCCCTTTATCGCCCTAGGGCACTCCTTACTTCAATTAGGGGCACACAACACATTAAAAATGGTGTACACTACGAATTTTTAAATACAGGCAGGAGATCCATATCTGCGACCCAAAAGGGAAGAACGCTGGAAATAGGCTGAGATGGAATAGAAGGTTCACCCTTACTATTCCATGCAGGGAACAATGGAAAGAGAGCAGAGTGGAATTTCGCCCAGGGAGTTTAGTATGTTACACGGAAAGATCGAGTCAAACTGACAAACAGAACTCTGGTGCAGGAATTCACCTAGAAGGAAGAGGTATAGGAGAGAGCTGAAGTATTCGCCATTCTGGCCGTAGCAGAGAGACAAGAAGTGAAAGAGGGACCAGAGCAGAAGATTTAGATCTGCTCGGATAGTCAGGCGGCGGTCAAGGCTATCTGCCACCCCAAACCAAGAACAGCTTTGGTGCAAGAATGCGGCGATGCTCTTGAGAAACTAGCTGAACTGAAAGAAGTAGCTGTCTAGAAGCCAAACTTCGTCCTCAACGAATGGGCGGACAAAGCACTAGAAGAATATTGGAGGCATATAAGCGGCTACAGGCAATCAAGAAACCTAGTGCCCAAAACAGAGATTTCCGAAGAACAATTCCCGTGGAAGTATTCTACGGAGAAGTGAATGGTCTCCTATCTTTTTACGAGTGTTCCAATGATTTCAAAGAGTTAGTGAGTGTGGCATCATCCACCGGGCGAGTGGCTCTTCTATGGATGGAATCTAAGAGCATTAGGGTATGTTTGGGTGCTGAGCCTTATGTGTGGGAACAATATTCTAGAACAGGCCGTATCTGTACTTTGTAGATCATGAGAAGCTGTGTAGATTATCGCATCAAGAATATGATTCTTTGTAAAGCAGCTTTCGAGATGGATCTGACATGCAGGTAAATATATTGTAAACTGTAACATTTTGTGACTTAGACCTAAAAGTGAAGTGCATCTCTCGCCAATTAAACACAAGTGAACAGTGGAACAACAATGTTCAATTTGAAATGTAAGCAAACTTTTATTTTGTTGCCTGTAACATCTGCCTGACCATACTACCTGAATACGGTCTCATTCTGCCTCCTGCCTCAATAATCACGAACCCATTGATCGTAAAATAACTTTGTGAAGACCCCCTGTAGTAGGCCAACGAACGAAGAAAGTTGGGGACTTTACAATGTATTTCGAGCTTAACTTGCTTTTGTGGACCTAGGCTGTTGATACGATTCATAAGAGCTGTGATATGAGATAATGAAGCATCACAACTAAAAACATAGAAACCTATACGGCGGGCGATAAAGTAGTCCGCGGGTGCTAAAGTGCCACTTTACGCCTGCAAAACCCGGCGGTAAAGTTCTACTTTACGCCCGATCGTGCATCAAAATATTTTCGAATATTAGGTACTTATAGCTTCTTATAAGAATAAGAGTTGTTTGGTTTTGATTACCTGTATATGTTTGTGAATATTTCTCCTGCTGGAAGTCTCCCAATGAGGCTTGGTCCTATATTCCCTACTATAGGCCAGGGATCAGGTCCAGGTACGGATCTATTTCTCCAATAATTCAAATTTTTTGTTATTAAATAATAAAATAACGCTATCGACAGCGTGATCAGAATAATCAACCACATGTTAGCGACGATTTGCCAGCAATTCAACTGTTAACGAAGACAGCACCTATCAAATCAAATGTAACAAAAGCTTTATTGTGGTTAAATTGAAATGGTCAATTGGTCAAGGTCGAAAAATTAATCTTATCAAAGTTCTCAGGGGATCACTATAATATACATCATACATAATACATACAGCAAATTGGTGAAACTACTTTTTTAATGAATAATATTCGCCACTTACTTTTGAGCCCATTACGCACTGTAAACAAATCGCAGTTTTCGTAAACAAAACGCACAGTTTGAATAATTTAAAATTCATACGTGAAAAGCAGATTATTTAACAATTATTCCACAAACAACATTTTTTGACAAATGATATACCGTTACCATTCAACTGAAAATATGCTCGAAGTTTCTCACGAAATCTGGATCTCTAATTTGGCTTTCCTGTAGAAACAATATTAACCTCACACCAAGAAGCATATTTATTATTCAATCGCTTATACAGGGTGAGTCATAACTATTGGGACTTAGGCTAAGGGGGAATTGTTTGGACCAGAATATGGTGATAGGACCGAATCTGCCTTCATAAAATATTGCTGTGGAACAAGATACAGGATTTGAATTGAACATTATTTTTTTCGTTTTTGCTAATAATTCCACTGTATATTTATCAATTGTTATCAAAATCGGCACAGAGGCATAATTTTATACAGGAAATATTATTTTATGTTTTAACCTACAGTTTGTTACAGGGGGCGCCAACGTGAATGATTCCTGAAGATGAAATCGACTGATAACTTTTTTGACGAAACTTTCTAGTGATTTTGATTAGAAAATACAACATAAAAATCATTATTGATCCGGCTAAAATATTTTGAAAATTGTAGCACTTCTGGTTGTACCCGAAGAGGACCCCAACTTCGTTATTTCAAATCGAACACACAGTAGATAGTGAATCGAAAGTTAAGATAGGGACATGCAAGGCGTTTTGATCGATAATGAATAGTTTCGACACAAAAAAATCCTAAAATTGAAAAATCTCGATTTTGAACACCCCATATCTCTGTAATCATTCCTGATAGACCAAAAGTGTGATGCATTGATGAAATTAGCTCTTCAGTAACAATCTAAAAATGCAATAAAATACAGGGTGTTCCATTTGAAATAACGAAGTTGGGGTCCACTTCCGGTACAACCGGAAGTGCCACAATCTTCAAAATATTTTAGCCGGATAGCACTTATCAACAATAGTGATCTACCAAATTTTCAAATTCGGCCCACCTATGGTTTTCTATTTATTGATCGATGCAGTTCCCGGAGGGACACCCGTATGGTTGTAAATAAAATATATTTTTTCACATATGTGTATAGCAACTCAACCTAACCTCCGCTATCCGCCATTGGGCTAGGGTTGGTTAGTCATGACTCACCCTGTATATCACATATCAATGACATAATGTTTTTATGATATTATTTATAGAATCTGGCTAGCATTTCTGCCTATTTATCTGTATAGATTGGATTGGAAACTAGCTCTGTGATTCGATATACAATTTCTAGATAAAGGTACTTTATTCACATGATTTTTTTTCCTCACAAAATTATAGCTAATTACACGATATCACAACAAGAACTTACGAATACGCATCTAAACACAGATGATAGACAATAGTTAAGGTTAAATACTTAAAGTAGGAATTAATCAACAAAGGATGTTAATATATCTGTCATTTTGACCAAGGACTGAAATAGGGGGGACACTGAATATTCTATGAAATTTTTGTGATTATGCGAAATATAAAACACCGTGTGTGTCGTATGGTAGCAATAGAATTAATATCATAAGAAAGAGCATTCTACAATGTATGTGACAAATACAGGGTGATTCAAAATTCGATGTAAAAATTTTTTTCATGCAACTAACCTTTTGCCACAAAATCGTTATCAACGAAATCGTTTTCAAACGCAAGTGTTAAGCGATCATATACGGAGGTGATCGTATACTTGCACTTGATCCGTTATGATGATCACAATTTCAGATCATCTTTTTTTTACCCAACATACAGAGGGTTTCGCTCAAAGGAGGTGCATTTTAGGACACATGTTTACATAAAGAAAACATTTCATTTTGATCCCAACAATACGTCCTTGAAATATCTACATCGAATATTCTGAATTACCCTGTATAATTTGAGGGTTGAATATTATTATAGATATATATACTATGTACTTCTTGTTTCTTTTGATCCAATATTCATAATATTGTACAATGAAACTGTAAGGTATATCTGTTATATCTCAAAACCACTAGAGAAACTGTAAAGAAAAGATTCTACACACATATTGTATATACAGTATGATGCAAATGTATGGAATAAATTCATTATTTCAGAAATGGGCGACATTTGAAGAAATTCCAAAAACACGTGAGTTTTAATTTTTGAAGCCTCATCTCATGACATTCATATGAGAGATGTTACGTCACTGGTGTAGAAGTAATGACGTAATGGACGATTTTTTCAAATACAAGCAGGGGTCATGTGACACCTCGTTTGAAAGGTCTACTGATCGTCTATCCAACAGTCAAAATTTTGCATAAGAATATTGCAATTAAAATGGATTATCATTTGGTTAACTGAATCTTGCAGAGGTCTGCTACTGAGAATTAAACATCGAAGGGTCGTCTAGTTGAAAAAATACACAATAAAAAAAGTTCTGAACTCTAGTTTTTGGATTTTTTTCGGAAGTCGTCTTGTTTTGAAATGAATTTATTCCATACATTTGCATCATACTGTATATATACAGTAAACACGTAAATGTTGGAACAAATTCATTGAAAGCTTGAATGACCATTGGGAAAAAAGGCTCAGACACGCCGATTGTCTTTTTCAGATGTGCATTTGTTGGTATACTCATATTATCGATAACGTCATCATTATAAATCACATTATTATGGATGATAGGGTATTGCCATGACGTCATCAGAAATATGAGTAGACCAAAAAATTCGCAACTGAAGAAAAAAATTGACATATCTGAGCTTCTTTCCCTACTGGCCATATCAAGCGTTCAACGAATTTGTTCCAACTTTTACGTGTTCACATATAATATCAACATTGTTATTTGAATAACTTTTCTAAAAATCGCTTGTTTTCGACCTTGAATTCTTGATTGGGCGAACAGATTACAATCAACTTCAATAACCAGTTTTAGAGCTACAGCTATTGAAACCAAATCAAAGATTTACTTATCTATTTTTTTTATTGAAACAAATCATTCAAATAGATTACAAATCAAACTAAACCCAATATACAAATTCTCATTTGCTCTGTTGATGATAATCAAAATAGCGACATGGTTCGTCAATTGTTGGAAACCATTGCATAAACCTCTGTTGTTAGCTCAAAAAGGAATCGACTCTGCTAAATCAGCTAAGGCACAGGTTGCGATGGATATAAACAAATCAAATATTTAATCATGTGTCAAAAGCTTTATGCAACCGGCCTCTCAAAATGGGGAAATATGTTAATCGAAAAAAAAATCATCGATAAAAAAAAGTCTTTATTATAATCAGTCATAGGTGTACATCAGCTTCCCACCCAATTCAAATTTTCAAACTTTAGCACCGACATGGATAGCCAAAAAACCATCATCTTCGCCAGAAGACAACGTAATAGAAGCCTGTCCGTTACCATCCACATTAACCGTCTTACCCGTACAAGACCCATTCTCCAACTTCCCCGACACAATGTCGCAATAGCTTCCCGCCGGAAGCGAAGTCTGCAGGTTACCGTTGATATCCCCAGCCAGCGTGAAGGCCACGAAGCCCTTATCCCCCCTACCGAAAGCGATCTGCTGGTTACCGTCGCTCCACCAATTGCTGATGCTCGTACCGTCCACAGCATTCCTGAACCCAACCATATCGTATATCTGGCGCCACCTGTGTTCGCACACCCACCCATTGGTGCAGGTATCGTCAGAGTTGAACCCTGGTCCTTGCGTTGGAGGACCCTGGTCATTATAATCGAAGGAGAAGCTCGACATGATCCTAGTGGTACCGTACGGATGAGCCAGCATGAACCCGATCGCCATCTTGTAAGGCCTGGGGTTCTTGTAGGTCAAAATGGCCCCGGAGCCGGTTCTCTGATTATCGTGGTTGTCGATGAAAGCTACAGCGTCCGTGCCTTCCAGGAGTCCCCAAGCGGGACCCCAGTTCTCCAAATTGTGCAAGGCGTTGTTGCCTTGGAAGGCGTTACCCAACTCGGTGCCGTACTTGAATTCCAGAACGGTACCGAAGCCGGTGTATTCGTTCTTGCTGACGCCTTCGCCTCCCAGATCGATGACTTCCTGGTAGAAGAACGGCCTGCTGCCCTGCGAGAAACCGTGGTCGGTATTCAAGTCCTTCACCCTGCCGTAGATGACCTGCAAATCAGCTGGCCACATGTGTTTGGCGGCATCCACCCGGAACCCAGCTACGCCGAGATCCACCAAGTGGTTCAAGTACTCCACTATCTTGTCGCGGACGTAGTCTTTGCTCTGGTCCAAGTCTGGGAGGCCGGACAGCCAGCAGTTCCTTATGTTGTTGGGGTCCTGGTAGTTGTTGACGTCGCACCGGCCGTGGAAATCTCCCGAGCCGTACGGAACGGCGGGGAAGCTGAGGGCTCCTACGTCACAGGAACTTCCGCCCGTACCGCTACCGGAAGTGGCCGACATTTGGTTGAAGACCGCGTCGACGTAGATCCTGACTCCGGCATTGTTGCAACGTCTGATCATGCTGGCGAGGGCGGATTCGTCTCCAGATCTGGTATTCAGCGCGTAGCTGATGGGCTGGTACCTTTCCCACCAGGGCCTGTCTCCTATTACCGTGTTCTCGGCGGGAGGGGAGATTTGCACGCCGGCGAATCCCTTGGGGCCCAAGAAGTTTTCGCACTCGTTGGCTATGTCGTCCCAGTGCCATTCGAACAAGTGGACGATGGTGTTTCGGCCAGGGGCGAAGTTGTTGTTTTTCTGCCCTAAGCTGAGGGCAGCCAGGCTGCAGAGGATGAGTATTGAAGTGAGAAA